GGCTAGGAAGGAGGTGAATATGTGGGAGCACATTTGAGAGAGAGACTGTCTCCATGCACGCCAGGTGAGGGGCGCCCCAACTGCGGCCAGGCGGCTGCCTGAACCTCCTCCATCCCGAAAGGCCGGGCAGGCGCGAGCTGCACGAAGCACGCGGGGCTGGAGACGAAGCGAGGTGTCACTTCCTCCACAGCTCGTGGACCCCTCGGAACAAAAGGGAAACGCGGGAGGGCGACGAGGCGGCCCCAGCGCCGACAGCCCGAGGACTGGACCCGCGGGGCGGGGCGGGAGTGGAGGCCCGAGGAGGCCCCTGGCCCCTGACCCCGCCCGGGGTCCGGGCCGCGGCGGCGCGAGGGCGGGGCAGGGCGTGGACACTGCGGCCCGGGTCGCCCCACGGCCTTGACCGTGAACCCGATCCCTCGGGCTGGACGGGCGACGGTTCTCAGAAGTTCTTGTTCGCAGCACCCCGTTCCAAGTGCCGCGGCCGCTTCTCCCGCCCTGGCGCCCCGCCCGACGGGCCAGAAGGTTTGTGCCGGATCACCGACCCTGCCTGGAAGGATCCTGCTTCTTGGCTAAAATCAAAGCCCAGCTACAATCTGTTGGAGGCCGGGAAGAGCATCGGTTAGAGAGGAGGGCGACGTTCCCTGGCCCTGTTCTAAGCTGCCAGTTAAAAATAGAAACCATTCATTGCGGTCTGCTGGGGGTAGCGGGGCGCAGAGGCGCTCCCAGCGCGCGAGGGACCCGGGCGATATCAAACTATAATCAATCAATCCACACGTATTTATTGCACGCCTACTTTGGATCCCGAGGGTCGCTTTCTGGGGCACGTGTGCGTTTAAGCAAAAAACGCACCCAAGGGGTCGACAAGTCTTTGGCGGAGTGTGATTTGAGGCCTTTATTCCTTCGCTCTAGGACGCAGCCCTTGGGGTGATTTCGGTGTCTTGCCGTGGGGGAGGGGAGGACCTGAGCCCCCGGGGGGTGCCAGGGGGTCCTCGCGGGCCGGGTCTGCTGCCCCGGCGCCCTCCAGGGACCCTCCGAGCACATCGCCCCAGGCCCTGCCGACCCTCAGGCGACGCGCCCCCGGGCGCCCCGGCCCGGCAGCCACCCCCGGCCTTTGGGACGGCAGCAAAGACCAGGCAAGCCCCAGCCTCCGGTCCAGCCTGTGATCTGCCCTTGATCTCGGAGTTATTTTGCGGAAAATGCACCACTCGACACTGAAAACATCCGTCTGAAAAAGAGACAAAGGGGCAGGGGTGGGGGAGGAGGAAGAGAGAAGGGGCCGGCCGGAGGAAGGGGCCGGCCGGCGAGGGCCGGGGTGTGCGGGCCGCTTCCTCTCCTCGCCACCCGCCGGGGCTCGCGCGGGCGCCCGCCCCGCGCCCCCACTCCGGGCGCGCCCTCCCGCGCGCGCGGGACCAGGGACGCCGGCGCCTGTTATCACTGGTCATTAATAATGCAGCGAGGATCACGATAATTAATAATAATAATGATGGGCCTCCCGAGGGGGCTCCAGCTGCCTCCGGATAAAGCGGCTCTGGCGTTCGGGGGAGTTTCTCGGCGGCGGGTGGAGCGGGGCGCGAGCCGGGGCGCTCGGAAGTTCAAGTGGACGGCGAGGACCGGCGGAGAGCGGCCCCCGCGCGGCCCAGGCGGGCCTCCCCGGGAGGCGAAGACCCGCTGCCGCGGGGTGACTCTGCAGGGAAGGCGGGGCGCGCTGGCATTCAGGTCCGCGGGCGCTGGGGGGAGAGGGAAGCCGCACCCCACCCGCAGGCCCGGGCTCTGGGCCGCCAGCCCTGGGCACCTTCTAAGGTGCGCGCCTCTGACATGGTTGATATTCTTACTCTCTGCCGGCCCCGCTTCCCCCTCCTGCCCCCCTCGCCGACCTCAAAGACGGAGACCGGGCCGTGCGGGCCACTCGGCCGGGTTCGCGACTCGTTTGGACAAAGCGGTGGGGCGCACGGGCCCGAGAGCCGAGAGCCTTGTCGCCGGGACTCTGCTCCCCTCCCGGGGCCGAGCGGGACGAGGCGCTGCTCGCTGTGACCCTCCTCCTCCAGCCAGGCCCCTTCCCATTTTTATTTCCTGCTGGAAAGTAGCATCAGTGCCCTCAGGGCCGAGTGCCCCCCCCTCGCAGCTCCCCCACATTCAGGCCTGGAAGGCCACGCGGCCCACTGCAGGCGGAGACCCTCCTAGTCTTGCATTTTCCTTTTGCCCACAAGTGAAAAGCCCCAAAGCCTGGAGTTGATACTCAAGTTGCCTCCCCCAGACTATGCTTCTTAGACCTGGATGCCTCAAAGCCAAGTATCTCCACACACACCCCCCAAGAGTTTAAAACATTTCGGATAGACAATCTCGTTCCTGCACAAGTTATGACGAATATTTAATCTGATTCCTTCCTCTCCCCCGGGTGCGAGGGGCTCTGGAACACTCTAAACGATTTTCCTCACAGCTTATATATGTGTTCAATGAAATTTCCCAAGGATCAGTAACATATGCCAATTATTTTAATAATTTTACTTAATATTATTAGGGGTTATAAATTTGATTTTAATAGGGGGTTGATTGCTTCAGGAGCTGGCGCTTGGGCAGTTCACAGGCCGCGGGGGAGGGCTAGCCCAGCGGCATCGGTCACCCTCTGGGACACACACATACACACACACACACAGAGAGAGAGAGAGAGAGGGGCTGGAGTCTTTCCTTCCCCATTGGATGGTAGCATGGCCTCCGGGAAGTCAGGGTTGCCCGTGTCCCCTAGCGGCCCTCCAGCCTAGCCTAGCCTGCCTGGCCCTGCGGCTAGGTCCAGAGCCCCAGCGGACAGAGAGGGAAGCAGCCACCACAGCCACAGCCGCCTCCCGCGCTGTGGGTTGGGTCTCTGCTGGGGAGAGCCCAGCACTGCCTGGCAAACCGGAGGGGGTATCACTGTCGCTGCCCAAATCTTTTCACCACTGGGCACGAAGGTGATTCTGGGGCTGCCAGGCCTCTGGGAGTCACGGAGAGACCCAGGAAAATGGAGATTGTCTGATAGCTCAGGGATTTAAAAAGAGGTGTCCTGGTTCCTACCTTTCCATTAGAATTATTGCCTCTTCCGTGCAGCCTCCAGTTCCAAAATTCTCCAGTAAACTCTCGGTGGGGCAGGGAGTAAGGCTGCAAACCTGAGAAAGCAGAGGGCAGGGTACTTCCACCTGGCCTTCCAAGTCTTTGTATCTTATTTCACTGGGTTTCTTGAAGGTTCTTTTATACCAACAGTCTGTTGCTTTTCTAAATTAAAATCTAATCTCTTTACCACTTACTTTCCTCTTGAACATCCTGCTTATTGGTGTGCAGTGGCTGTGCTGATAGCAGGATTCCTTAAAAAGCTGCTTAAAATTTCAAGAAAAGCTGGGTAGAAATGGGCCCTTAAACTACAATCACTGGGCCAAGTTCAAGAACAAAGTACTCAGCTCAGTTTTAAATGTGCAATTAAAAATAACTGTACCTCAGCTTTTCAGAGGGAGGGAGCAGGAAGGGGGCAGGGAAGAGGGAAAACAAAGAATAAGGAAATGTTTAGTGCTCTTAAATCCAGTCCAAACAGCTGAAAGAAAGGCATTCCCTCAGATAATGGAGCCATTAGGAACAGGGAAGGTCCCAGCCGCCATTCCTCACAAGGGCTTTCCAAAAATTTAATTCGCTCTCAGTTAACTAAACAAAAGATATAGAAAATAATTTTGAGATTTTTCTGCCAAAGGGGCACTTTGGCCTGGTCTCCGGGCATGCATCTACCTTCTCCCTGGCAAGATGGTCCCTCCCATTTACCCAGGCAGCAGCTCCAGACTCATGTCAACCCCTGCCGCCTTCTCCCCATTTTCTTGAATAACTTTGCTAGGAAAAAAAAAAGTATGTTCATGCAGTTTCAACACATTTTATTATATTTCTGTATGCATTACTCTCAAAACATATCACAAGAAATGATCAAACCACTTAAAACCTTCAAATAAAAAATCTGAAACAGTTTATGCCCACAATTGTACATATTTATAGTTAAGAAACATTCTTTATAAATATTGTTTCCTCTGTAGCAAGTTAATACCATAATTTAATTACAAATGGATAAATATGGCAACGGGTATTTACAGAAGGAAGGGTGTTATTACGGAAAAAGCTAACAGCACAACGTTTATTTTCCCCCCACAATCTTTCATACAGGAACTAACAAATTGAACTTGCAAAAGCACTAAAACATCACATGTAAACCCAGCTAACAGAAAAATACATTCACAAGCGTTGGTGGTGGTGGTAGTGGTGGTGGTGGTGTGTGTGTGTGTGTGTGTGTGTGTGTGTGTGTGCATGTGTGTGTGCGCTGTGGATCAGTGTTTAAGAAACAGAAGGGAGACTTTGGCACGGCTCGATTTTCCAGTCTATAGTTGCATGAAGTTTACAATCAAGTTGCCTCATAAAAAAGAACACAATATTCAATACCACAATACAAAATAAACCATGTTCTTCCACGTTACTTAAAAAGAAACGGGGTAAACTAAAAAGAAAAGAAAAAGCCCATCACTTGGGGGAGGAGAGGCAGAGAGGAAGGCAATTCTTACAAATGGACCAACTTCTATACACCAAGAAGCCATTAAAACCACCTCGGAGAAGGAAGGAGACGGCCGCTATGTACACAGTTTGTCAGACCACCGAGGGCAGGCGGGGAGGGAGAGCGGGCCCGGGGTGAGGCGAGGGGCGGGGGGGCGATATTTTTCTATGTTTTCTTTTTTTGTTTTTTATTTCTTATTTTCTATTTTCAGTTTCCGAGACTCCGGGAGGAGGGATGTTTTTGCTTTTCATGCCTAGATTATTTAAAAAAACAGAAAACAAAAAACAAAACAGAACCGTTTAAAAATCCTGCTGCTGGTAAAATCATGTTCATCATCATAAAAATCAGATTCATAGTGTGGACGACAGATCGCGGGGCGCTCCCAGGGCGCGGGCCTCGGGGGCGCAGCGCCCCGGGCGGGGGCGGGCCGGGCGCGGGCGCGCGCCCCTCACACGTACCACTCGTTGAAGTTGGAGGAGAGGCCGCTGTGGCCCGCGGCCGCCCCGCTGCCCCCGCCGGAGCCGCCCCCGCCTGCCCCGCCGCCGCCGGCGCTGCCCGCCCCGGAGCCGCCGCCTGCGCCCGCGCCGCCCGTGCCACCCCGGTGCACCGCGGACACCGCGGCCGCTGCGGCCGCTGCAGCAGCCGCCGCCGCCGGGGAGAGGTTGGAGCTGCTCTGGGGCTCCGCGCTGGGGGACACCAGCCCCGGGGGCGTGGACGACTCGTAGCCAGAGCTGGCCGCGGGCGAGGACTCCGAGCCCTGGGGCGAGGACTCATGGACCTGCAAGACAAAAGCCGGGAGGGGAGAGCAGAGGGGGCTGGGTGTGAGTGCAGCTGCTGTGGGGCCGCGCCCCGGGGGGGCGGCCGAGACCAGCGCCCCGGCCGCCCCGGCCCCCGGAGAGGGGCTGCCCTGCCCGCGCCTCCCCAGGCCGGCAGGTTGCCGGGTTGCGCGCCGGCCGCGGGCGCAGCGCCTCGCCCTCCCGGCCTCCCGGCCTCCCGGCTGGTACCTTCATGTGTTTCCGCAGCGAGCTGGGGTGCGTGTAGGACTTGTCGCACATCTTGCACAGATAGGGCTTATCGGAGGTGTGGACGTGCATGTGCTTCTTCCTGTCACTGCTGTTGGCGAAGCGCCGGTCGCAGCCCTCGAACTCGCACTGGAACGGCTTCTCCCCTGAGGGCGGCAGACACGGGCCCTTGCTGTGCACCCCCAGAACACCCCCAGCCCCAGCCCCCTTCCAGGGGGCGAGACCTGGGAGCAACAGCGGCCACAAGGGCCCAGGTCCCTGGGGTAGGTCCTACCCTACCCGCTTCTCCGGCAGATGCAGCGGATGGAACGAAGCGCCTGCCCCACCTGCACACCCAGCGCGCGCGTTTAATTCGGCCCTTGCTTTCCACACTGATGTCTGCCTCCCCAGGCTGGTAAGGAATTTGGGGTGGCACCCTGGGCCCTGCCTGCCTTTCCACACTGCTTCTTGGATTCGCAGCTTCTAACAAGTTGGTCTCACCATGGAGAAGCTGTTATTATGACAAAATATTTGGGGCATTATCAGCATCACACAGGCTGCTGTCGGTGCCTTTCCCGGGCCAGTAGGCAATCCATTTGGAGTTGCTGTGTGTTGTTTAGGGACTGGGCTGTGGAGAGCAACTGAGCCAGGATTTTTCATCCAAAATTCTGCAAACTGAATTCACCGTAATTTTTGCCTCATTTCCAAAAAAAAATATGTTGGCGGAATAAGGTTAGGATCAGCCATAAGGCAGCACGGTGGTGGCAGGGAGGGAGAGGCTGGGCGTCAGCAAAGGCTTTCAGAATCTCCCTGTTTTAATTTTCTGCCGCTTCCTGCGTCCTGCTGCCAGAATTCCAAATGCTTGGAGTCATTTAGAGGTGTGAGAACTCAAACATGGTTCCACTTGGAAAAGGAACCATTTAACGTTAAATTCCATTAGCACCTAAATTGTTTTTTAAAGACATCCGCTCAGACACAGGACTCGAAAGCGAGCATTTCATGCAAATAAATTTCTCAAATTTTAAACCTTGTTAAAAGCTTGTCTCGCACCTCGGCTCCCTCCCTCCCCGGAAGAGAACAATAGGCCTCTGGCGCATCCCCTCTTCGGAGTAAATATTGACTGGGGAAGTTGCTAAAACATTTGGCTTTCTCTTAGGAAATCGCCTGGCACGATTTTGGCTGGGACCTGGTCAGAGATGAATAATCTACGAGCCGAGAGCTGCGTCCTCTCCAGGCGCGCTCCGTCCTCGCGCGATCGCCCCGCGGGGCCGCGCTGTCCCCAGCTCCCGCTGACCCGGCTGCTGGTCCAAGTTTGGAATCGCAAACTCTGGTGCCCATTAGGGAATTGCACAAACTGCTGCGAAACCCCCCGTACAGCCCGGCGACCCACCCCGAGATGAGCTTTAAAAACACTTTTAGAAAACCGAAGAATGCTCTCCAGCTAGCTACGCTGCCCCTCACCCCGCCAGATTCATTTCATGGGGGAGTCCCGGGAAGGACGTTTGGATCCCCGGGAAATGAAGGAGGAAAACACACAGGCCACCCAAGCGCGGAAACACATCCAGAGCCGAAAAACAGACACGCTGGCCAAACCTTCTCTAGGCTCAATTCCCGGGCACCGAGTTGGAGGGCAGTTTTATTTTGTGCATCCCACTTAAAAAGGAAATTATTAAGCGGGGTTGAGCAAAGAGCCACTGCATCCCACCCAGAGCACACATCTGACGATGCCCGGACGGTTCAAAGCTCCTTTTCCGCACATGGAAAAATCCAACCTAATGAGAGCCTCTCGCTCTCCAACAACAACAAGCCGCGGGCGCTCTCGCGCGCACAGGCACCTCCCGTGCCCCGGGCAGGCGCAGGCGGCCGGCGTGCTCCTCCCGGCCGCCGCCTCTGCCCTCCGCGCCCGCGCGCCCCGTCCCCGTCCAGCCCGCGGTTACCTGTGTGGGTCCTTTTGTGGATCTTGAGGTTCTCGGAGCGCGCGAAGACCTTGCCGCAGCCCGGGAAGGGGCAGGGGAAGGGCTTCTCGCCGGTGTGCACGCGGATGTGGTTGACCAGTTTGTATTTGGCCTTGAAGGGCTTGCCCTCGCGCGGACACTCCTCCCAGAAGCAGACGTGGTTGCTCTGCTCCGGGCCGCCGACGTGCTCCACGGAGACGTGGGTCACCAGCTCGTGCATGGTGCTGAAAGTTTTGTTGCAGCTCTTCTTGGGGTTGCTCAGCTGCTCCGGGTCGATCCACTTGCAGATGAGCTCCTGCTTGATACACTGCTGCCGCATGTACCGGAAAAAGGCACCGGGGTGGTGGTGGTGATGGTGGTGGTGGGCCGCGGCCGCTGCCATGTTCATACCCATGTTCATATTCATGGGGCCGTACTGGTTGTGGAGCTGCGCGGCCGAGTAGGGGTCGGTTCGCGGGCTGGCCACCTGGCGGTACTGCTCCGAGCGCCCGAACACTTCGCCGGGCAGCCCGAGGCGCATCTGCCCGTTGAGCACATTCTGGGAGCCGTGCGGCCCGTGCTGCTCCGGGAGGCCGGGGAACAGGAGGTGGCCCTGCGCGTCCGAGTGCGCGTGGTGCAGGCCGCCGGCTCCCGGCCCGAACAGCCCGTGCTGCCCGCCGCCCGGCGCCGAGTCCCCGAAGCCGCGGCTGCGGAAAAGGAAGTCCCGGGTGGAGTTGAAGGGCGGCCCCGAGTAGGAGCCGACGTGCGCCGCGTGGGGCCCGAGCGCAGCGGCGGCCGCGGCCGCGGCGGCCGAGCCCGGGTAGGCGCCGGGGCCCTGCGACGTGAACGCCGAGCTCTGGCCGGGGACAGCTCGTGCGCGCCCGGGTTGAGCTTGAAGGCGCCCATGTGCGCGGCCGCGGAGTCCACGAAGCCGTTCTGCGCCGCCGCCAGGCTCAGCTCGCGGTCCTGCATCTCGGCGGCGGCTGCGGCCGCCGCGGCCGCCGAGTGGTGATGGTGGCGCGCGAAGCTGCCCACCCCGATGGCCGGGAACTGCGGCCCCGCGTCCAGGAGCATGGCCAGCGTGCCCGCCCGCCCCGCCGGCCCCGGCGAGCCGCGCGCCTCCGCCTCGGCGCCCACTCCGGGCCCGCGCGCGCTGCGTCCGGCGGCCGCCCCGCTCCGGCCGCGGGCGGCTCAGCCCCGGGAGCCGCGCTCCTGCGCCCGCCGCGCCGCCGCCGCCGGGATGAGCTTCGGGCGGCCGGGCGCGGGGCTCGGGCGCGGGGAGGACGAGGCGGCCGCGGCGGAGGAGGCGCGGGAGGAGGAGGAGGAGGTGGAGAAGAGTCCAAAGCCAGGCGCAGAACCAAAGTGTATTAAAGGAGCTGCGGCGGGGGCGGGCGGGCGGCCGGGGGAGGGCGGGCGGGAGGAGGGAGCGGGAGGGAGGCGCGGGGAGCCGAGCGGAGAGGGGGGCCGGCGGGGGGCAGCGCCGCGCCGCGGCCCCCACCCCTGCGCGCACCCGCGCGCACGCACCCGCGCCCGCTCGCGCGCCGGGGCCGGGGCCGGGGCCGGGCGGCGGATCCCGCGGCGGCGGCGGGGCCCCGGGGCCGGAGCGCGGCGGCCGGGCGGGGAGCTCCGCGCTCGGGCCCCGGCTCGGCGCGCCCGCGGCGCCACCTGACCGCGGCGGGGGCGCCGGGGCGGCGGGCAGAGGCCGGGCGCCCTCTCCGCGGCGCGCGCGGTCGGCCGCTCCCGCCCCCGCGCCCGGCTCGCGCCGCCCCGCGCGCGGCGGGTATTGTTCGGCGCGGCGGCCCGGCCCGGCCCGGCCCTCCCCGCGCGCTCAGCCCGCCGCGGCCTCCGCGCTGCGCATTGGCTGCGCCGCGCGCTGGAAACTTGCGGCGCCCGCGTCCCCGGAGGAAGGCGGCTGCGCGCCGCGCCCTCTTTCTTTAAGTTGCCGGGGGAGGCGGGGAGAGGGGCTGTGGGAGGGGAGAAGGCCGCGGGCGGGGGGGGGCTGCGCCGAAAAACAATAACAACAATAAAAGTGCTCTCGGGCGCGGGCCCCGGCGCGGGCGGCCGGCCCCGCGAGCCCCGGGCGGCTCCGCGCCCCGGCCCGCGCCCCCGGCCCGCGGGCCCCTCCCGGCCGCGGCGCGCTCGGCTCTCCGCGCGGCCGCCTCTGTATGTCGGGGGGCGCCGCCGACGCCGCAGCCTCTTATTTTTTATTTTTTGTCCCCTCCTTTCCTCCCCCTCCCCCCGCGCCCCGCCCGCCCCGGCCTCCGGCTCCCTCCCGCGCGCTCCGGGCCCGGCCTCCCGGCCACGCCGCCCCTTTAACGGAGGCGCCCGCCCCGCCCGCCCCCCGGCGCCGCCATTGGCCGCCGCCGCCCCGTCAATCCGGCGCCCCCGCCCCGGCGCCCGTCCGCGCTCCTCCCCCGCGCCCCGGCGCGCCCCGGCCGCCGCGGACCGTGGCCGCCCGCCGGACCCGCGAGCCGGCCGCGTCCCGCCCGCGCCCCGGGGCGGCGGCTCCCCGCGCCGGCCGGCCGCGCCGCCCCCGGCGTCCTCGGGGCCGCTCCGCGGGGCCGGGCGCGGCGTCCTTGGCGGCCGCGAGGGCGCGACACCCCGGCCCGCGCCCCCCCGGGCCCGGCCGCTCCCGGCGCAGCGACAATGGCCAGCCCGGGCCGCGCGGGAAGGGCTCGCGCCGGGCCTCGGGCCTCCTGCCCCGCGGCTCGCGACACCTAGCCCCGGGCCCCCCCGGGAGCGCGCGCCGAGGCCGGCCCGGGGGTCCGCCGGCCAGGAGGCACGCCCCCTATTAGCGGCTCCCCCCGCCCCCCAACACTGGCTCCGTAAACTTGCTGAGCGGCTCTGAGGACGCAGGTGCAGAACGGTGGCCGGGAACGCCCGGGCCAGGGCGCGCCCCCGGCCTCCCGCTCTCCGGACGCTCACCCAGGCCCGCCCCCCCGGGCCCCTCCACCCCCCCCGGCCGCTCGGCGCGCTCCGCGCCCCTGGCACCCCCCGGCCGCCCGCGTCCCGCTCCGATCCCGGCAGTAAACACTGGGCGGCGGCCCCGCGCGGAGGGAGTTGTGTGGAGTCACGTAAAGGCCGTGCGGCCTCGGGGCGGGGGCCCGGGCGCGCGGGCCGCGGCCCCGTGGGGTGGGGAGTGTGGGCCGCCCCGGCGCGCGTCCAGGCCGGCCTCCGGCCACCAGTCGGCTGCGGGCCTGCGGCGAGGGCACCTCCAGGCTGGCGCGGCGGGCGCGCTCCGGAGAGGCTCTCCACGCCTTCCCCGGAGCGGGGGCCGCCCGCACCCCATCCCCGGCGGAGGCCGCGCGCCAGGCTGCCCCCCGGGCCCCGCCGGGCCTGCCTCGCGGCCCTGGGGCCCCGCCCCCCCGCCCGCCGCCCGCCCGCGGGCCCCAGGCCGGCGCGGACGTCCCCTGCCGCGCGCGGCTGCCCGAGCGGGGAGGTCGCCCGAGCGGGAGCCGCAGGCCCGGAGGCGCGGACGCGAGGCCTTTCCGCGCCGCGCTGGCGAGCAGCTCTGCGCCCGTTCACAGATCCCTGGGCCTTGCCACAAAATTCAAGTAAGAGAAAACAACCAACGTGCGTTTCCAAATTTCATGTTGAAAGGAAATCAACAAAAGCGCGGGAAGAGCGCGGCGGCTCGCGGGAGCTGGGGCTCCGCTCTCCCGCCGGCGCGGGCGGCCTCCGGCTTTGGGGGTCTCTGGAGGTCCGAGCCCTGAAGCTGCCACTGGCCGCAGCCGCTGCAATAAGGGGCCGTGCCCTCCCGCCTGCCCCCCTTTCTCTGAGGGGGGGCCGGGGGGAGGCTGGGAGGAAGAGCTAGTCCCAAGCCCGGGAGTTTGCTGGGGAGCTGCAGACCTCGCCTTCCCTGCACAGGAAGTGGACCTCGTGTTCACACGCCTTTCTCTGCATAAAGGGGCGGGGGGGGGGGGCCGCAAATGCCAACCTGCCCCACCCCCAGCAGAGGCACCTGAGAGAGAAAGAGGAATCTCCAGGCAGAGGCTGCCCTGCAACACTGAATTATTATTTTTTTTAATTGCCCAATGCACAGTCTTTAGCACTTTTTATTTCACTCGTCCATTTATGGGGGGAGGGGGCGAGAGTGGGGTGAGGATAGCTGGAATAGCGCGCTCCCAAAATAGCTCCAAAAGGAAATATTTCCCTAGGCCGGTCGCGAGAAGCGCAGGCCTGCGCGGCCCGAGCCCGCCTTCCTTTTCTCCTTGCACGCCCCAGACTCCTGCAAGTGTCCCCCTTCCCCACCTTCTGGCCCCCTCCGCGCCCCCCGGCCCCCCTCTTCTCCGACCCATTCTCTCCGCTCGCTTTGATGCCCCCCGGCAGCGGCCGCGGTGCGGGCCGGCGCGGCTGGGCGCTCGCGGCGCGGGGCGCGGGGGCCGCCGCCTTAGTTCCCGCCGGAGACGCGGCGGGCCGGGCGCTCCGGGCCTTTCTTCGCCGGCTCCAGTTCTCCCCTCTCTGCGGGACACAGAGGAGCTGAGCCAAGTTCAAAGTCACGTCGCCGGCCCCGCTCAGAAGTGCTTTATTTCACCACAAACCGCAAAACCCCTTCCCTCGTGACACGGTATTTTTTTTTTTTTTTAAGAAGGACAGGGAAGAAAGCAAGAGAGCAAGAGGGGAAAAAAAAAACCCAACCCTGCAAAGGCTTTCAGAGCTATTGCCTCAAAAGTGGATTGGGGTTCCTGGCAGAAGCTGGAGAAAGCAGCCCAGCGGCTGCCGCCATTCGCCGGTGAACTGAGCTTTTCAACAGGTTTGGGAAGGGCGCGTCCTTACCCAGGGCCGCCCAGGGCCCCACAACTGTCCCCAGCGGGCAAACCAGTCCCCTCTAGGTCTTCCACGATTCCCTGGCTCTCTCCCCGAGCCCGCGCCCGCCTGGGCTGCAGCCTGGGACAGGCAGGCCCGGAGCTTCTGCTGAGCCGGGTGTCCCCTGCGTGGAGGGGCCCTGGGCGCGCCGCAGGCGTCCATGTCTCCGCGCGCAGAGGGAAGGGTTTGGGGGGGGGCTGGATCTGGGTCCTCTTCAAAACACAGAAAATCCCAACGCTGGGACACCGGTCACTGAGCTCCTCCTTGAGGTGTGTGGGCCCATGAGTGGTGGACTGGGCTCTTGTGTGTGATGAGTGTTTGGTGTCCCTACACGTACAAACGGTGCGGGTGCGCACAGCGCAGGGCTGTCCTGCTGGCCCGGGGGAAGCCAAAATCAAGCAAACAGAACCAGCCTTTACATTAGGAAGCAGAAACCCCTGGTGACCACTGCATTCCATTTTTTCATTTTCCTTTTAAGGGGTAAAAATGGAGGGGGAAGACACAGGATCAACCATGTGGAATCAGCCGTAACTGGGTTATAAAAAGCCCCTCTATAAAATAGATGCTTGCCAGCATTTTTGTGATAGGGATGTAAAGTTTGTGTATTTGTCATTAGGAGTTCTGGGAAAAGAAAAAAAAAAAAAAGGCACCGTAGAGGTGACAGTGGTTGTGGTTTTGCAAAAGGAAGAGACCTAACTGTCCTTATTTGGTCCCCTAGAAGGGCTGGTTCTGCTGCTGCAAAATAAGGCAAAACAAGCCATCTATGTACACCAGATTGAAAGAGGGAGGATTTCTCAGGATTTCAACACCGTCCTGTGCATCAGACTCATAAATTCAACAAGATCATCAAGAGGATATTAAGTTGCAGGTCACCTTTGATTCAGCCCTCTCCCCACTCCTGGGCTGGGTGACCTCTGACCCATGAAGGACCACATGGGTGGTGCGGGAGCCCACTCTGCAAACCCACCAAGAACAAAAGTTCTTTTGTCAGAGCTTTAGGGAAGTGTCAAGTAAAAGGGGGATCTGTAATGTAAAAGAAGGGGAATCTGAAAATCTCCGCCAAGGTTGTAACTTTTAAATACCATATTTAAGAAGGGGAAGGTTGCAGGGAGGTGGGAGGTACCGGACAAGGCAAGGCCTTGCTCATCAACCACAAGAACTTCTCTTCTTCCTACACTTAAAATTTACTGTTCTGTAACTGGGTTATAAAAAGCCCTTCTATAAAATAGATGCTCACCAGCATTTTTGTGATAGGGATGTAAAGTTTG